CATGTAGAACCACTTGTATGTAGATTTCCTGACTTCATCTTTTTCTAACAGCTGCATAGTATTCCATTGTGTACCACGATCATGATCATGATCATCTTGTTGTTCGTCGATTGCCTCAGGCAGGCATCAGTAATGTCTCCTTCTTCCCAGCCCTGAGATTTTAAAAGAGCCATATTCAATGCTCTTTCAGGGTTAGGAGAATGAGACCCATCATTGTTACTGGTATTTGGCATATTGATTATGACACAGGAAGTTTGCCAGACTCTGCCGTGCGGGGAGGATACTTTTGGTAGATGTACCAAAGTTTCTTTAACCAGTCATCTGTTCTCGGGCACTTGGGTTTTTTTCCAAATTTTGGCTATGGTGAACAGAGCAGCAATGAACATAGAAGTGAGATGTCATTTAGGCTGTACTTGTCGTGACACTCTTTAAAGAGTGTCTTAACTTCTTGCACATTTTCTTGATATGTTGGATTTGTTTCTGTTTTGAGTTGAGACTTCTCTACTTTTGTGAATTTTTGATATTTTAGTGATGGCTTTTCTTTATTCTTTGTCTGTTACCTCCTTTAGTCTGTCTTTATGTTCCTCTGGTGTCTTGTTTTCTTTGAGGAATTCTATGTTATTTGTACAGAAGTTGCTTATAGAATTTTTCTGCTTATGCTTCTTTTGTTTTCCTGCTTTTAGTCACTTAATCACTTAATCACTTAACTTCCCGTTAGTCATCGATTTGCTCGAGCGGGCGCCAGCAACGTCTCCATTTGTCCCTGTCGCGTGCTAGTGTAGCCCAATGGCATCTCTTCGCTCCGGGAACATGGAGGGCCTCAAACCGATCGTTCATGATCTTGACAAAGAAATCTGACCATCTGGTAGGTGGGCGGCCACGCGGTCTCTTGACATCCCGTGGAATCCAATCAGTAACAGCTCTAGTCCAACGGTCGTCTTTAAATCTCATTACGTGACCAGCCCATCTGATTTTCGACACCTTGGCATATGAGACAGCGTCCCTGATCCTTGATCGTCGACGGATGTCAGAACTCCGGATTCGTTCTCTCATTTGAGTGAAACGTGATATTCCAAGCATAGCTCTTTCTATTCTTCTTTGGGAGACCTGAATGGCGTTCTCATCTTGTTTGCGTAGGGCCCAGGTCTCTGAGGCATATGTTAATGCAGGAAGAACAGTGGAATCAAAGAGATGTGCCCGGAGCCGGAGGTTCTTCGTCCTCTTAGCTATTTCTTCGACGTTCTTGAAGGCGTTCCAAGCCGCTCTCTTCCTCCTGCGCAGCTCGGGTGCCAGGTCATTTGTCATGTTGACCTCTCGACCTAGGTACACATAGCTGTTGCATTCGGAGATGGTCGTTCCATTGAGAGCGAATGGGGCGTCAGGAACAAGGCTGTTTCTCATAAACATTGTTGCTTATAGAATTTTTCTGCTTATGCTTCTTTTGTTTTCCTGCTTTTAGTAAGGTGGCTCTATTATTGTCAATTATCCCTTATTTCAAGGGTAATAACATGGAGGGGGAAAGCAATGGTAACGAGTAATGAGGAGATTGAAAACCTCAGTGGATTGATAACAGGATTGTCATTGGAGGGGGAGTGGGCTGGAAGCAGCTCAGAGGGAGAAATACATACTGCCCCCTCTCTGTCTGGGCACTTTTGTCTTCTGTTCCTACCAACATTCTGCCTCAACAGTTTGACTCAGAATCCCTGCCTCTGGGCCATAGCTTAATGCTGTGCTGTTACCTTATGAAGGAAGAAGGTACATCTTCCACCAGCTTAAAACAATGGGATTTGGTGGGGGGTGTTGTTATTTGTCCCAGAGCACAATTTATGTCCATAGTTTAGTCTTTCACCTCTGTTCAAAAGGTAGACTGTTATGTCTATAGTCTTGACCATCTTGCTGCCCTGCTGAGTGAAGGTCAGCCCATAGTAATAGCGACTGGTTTGCACAACATAACTTCAGAATGTGGTTTAAAACCACACATTTGATTGTGTTCTTCACCATAAACACATGCCTTCAGATAGATGGTTGCAGGATTTCTATGTGATATGTAGTTGATTTCTGGTTATATTTTAGTGGGCATTTTTCCAGTGTCTATTCTACCATTTTGCTAAGAACTTTCAACAATAATCAACATAGAAAAGTTATTTTAAGATACAGATATGGGACCATCAAGATGGTGTAGTGAGTTGGCTTTGATCCCCAACACTGTATGGTTCCCCAAGTACTGCTCAGAGTGACACCGAGGCATTAAGGCATGACCCCCCCCCCCACTGAAAAGATGCAGATATAGACATGTTATTCCCATAATGATGATTCTACTGGGGCTTCCCAACTCCTTCTGTAACATTCCTTGCAAGGTTCTTTCTGATTCCATCTCCAGCATCATTTCTTCCTCATTTCCCTTCAAATTCTCTGCACCTGATGTAAAGGTCTTATTTTATAGTTACTAGATCTGCCTTGTTCTCTAATATTTTTGAACTTTTATCAGTATTATTTCTTATTTACTGAACAGTCTCTAACTTTTACTTTCTACCAGATTCACTCCTATTTATTCTCTAGCAAGATAAGGTTGTCGTTGTCATTTTCTCCAAGTGTCAGTTCTACCTTTGTATCCCTACCGTTTGACATTGCCTAGCATAGTACATAGGAATATAAATATATTTCATAAAATAGTTATAAAATTTTTGATACTGATACATAGCAATATCAAATAAATATTAAAAATATCTTATAAAACAAAAAGTAACTTGAAATCCGACACGCCATTTTGTCGGTAAAGAAGCAAACAGCACCCGGCCCAGGCAAGGTCAGACCTGAGCCCATGAAGAACCTTTCATCAGTTCTCATCAATACACTGGCTCGGCTCTTCACATGCTACCTGTCTGAAAGCAAAGTTCCGTCCCAGTGGAAAACCAGCAGGACTGTACTACTGTATAAGACTGGAGACATTCACGACATTGGCAACTATTGCCAGATTTGCTTGTTGTCTGTCGTCTACAAGCTATTCACTTAAGTCATCCTGAATAGGATTGGCAGAACACTAGATGAAGAACAACCATACGAGCAAGCCAGTTTCCCGAAAGGATTCAGCACAATCCACCATATCCACATGATAACCAAGCTCATTGAGGTTTCTTGGTAGTTCAAGATGCCACTCTGTCTAAGGTTCATTGATTTAAAGAAGGCCTTTGATTCTGTTGAGACTGAAGTGGTCATCGAGGCCCTAGCAAAATAGGGTGTTCAAACTCAATGCATCAGTGTCCTCCGTGAGCTTTATTGCAGATTTACTACCAGGATCTCACCATTCTACAGGGAGGTGATCATTGACGTCAAGAGAGGGGTTCGGCAGGGTGATACCATTTCACCAAAACTCTTCAGTGACACCCTCGAGAACGTCAATCACAATGACTGGTATGGGAAGGAATGGGAGTGAAGATAAGAAGGTCGGCAACTACACCACCTCCACTTTGCTGATGACATCATTTTAATAACTCCAAAGATCAACCAAGCAGTACAAATGCTGGCCAACTTCGACTGTGAGTGTGGAAAGGTTGGACTACAGCTGAATCTCATGAAGACAATGTTTATGAAAAACGGTCTTGTTCCTGATGTTCGATTCACTCTCAACGGAACGACCATCTCTGAATGCCACAGTTATGTGTACCAAGGTCGAGAAGTCAACATGATGAATGACCTGGCACCTGAGTTGCACAGGAGGAAAAGAGCAGCTTGGAATGCCTTCAAGAGCATCAAAGAAACAGCTAAGAGGATGAAGAACCTCTGGCTCTGGGCACATTTCTTTGATTTCACTGTTCTTACTGCATTAACATACTCCTCAGAGACCTGGGACCTACGAAAACAGGATGAGAACACTATTCGGATCTTCCAAAGAGGAATCGAAAGAGCTATGCTTGGCGTATCATGCTTCACCCAAGTGAGAGAAAGAATCCGGAGTTCCAATCTCCGTGGACGATCAACAATCAGGGACGCTGTCTTGTTTGCCAAAGTGTCGAAAATCAGATGGGCTGGACATGTAATGAGATTTGGAGATGACCGCTGGACTAGAGCCATTACCCACTGGATTCCATGGGACGTCAAAAGATTGAGTGGCCGCCCACCTATGAGATGATCAGACTTCTTCATCAAGACCCTGAATGATCGGTTTGAGGCTCTTCGTGTTCCTGGAGCATGCAGAAGCCATTGGGCTACATTAGCACGCGACAGGGATGAATGGAGACATTGCTGGCACCCGCTTGAGCAAATCGATGAGTAATGGGATGTCAAGTGATCAAGTGATCATTTCCAGGAACTTCTGTAACCTCCATATCAGACATAGCCTGCCTCAAGAGCAAAACAACTGAAACCATAAAGTTCTCAAGATATAAAAATGCACAAAATTATTGTCAAAATAAAGCCAGTCAATACTTGGTTATCTAGATTTTTGCCCCCAAAACTCAACATGGAGAATAATGTAATATGAACTGTAATATGAACTATAATATGAACCGTACAACATTGATTTTTTATAAATCCAGTTTAACGAGGCGACATGGGCATGGGTGGGGGGTGAGGTGTTGTAAAACTGTTTACCAAAGACCAGAAAAGTCAATACCACTATAAATGAATTATCTTATCTACAATAAATTTTAAAAATTGAAAATAATTTAAAAATTGAAAATCTATTTCAAGAAAAAAATCTAATTTAACACATGCAGCAATTGAGAAAAAGGAATGAATCTTGATTGCCTCTGACAATTAGTGTCAAGCCAATTGAGACCCACTCAAAACATTGTTTTGCAAAGCCATATTCCCTCCATAGCCAGATAGTAAATTGAAAAAAAAATGAACACATTTTCTTAACCCAAAATAATATTCTTATATTCTAATCACGAGACTTTTGCTCTTGCGTTTTCTTCCATTAAAAATAATGTTCTTAAGATATTTTGAGATCCCTTTGAAATGAAATTGTCTATTGACCTCAACTTCTTTCTTTCTTATAGTCTCTATTCTAGCAGAGACAGAAGACATAAAGTTAATTTTGAAAGACAAGGGAATCGATGTGGAAACCATTGCTGAAGTGTATCCCATCAGAGTACAGCCAGCTCGTATTCTCAGTCACATTTACTCCTGCCTAGGTAAGGAGATAGAACACTTGCTAAAATCAAGGTATTATTTGATACATACTTGTGTCTTTCCTTTTGTTTTTATTATGTGTTCCTTTTAAAAAGTATATCTGAGAAGGCATTTAGAATATCTGTATCTCCATCTTTAACCCTCAATATTATGAGTAGGTATGATAATTTTGGTGTGTTTCATGCATGAACGTCTTGGTATATATGACTGTTGCCAGGAAATACTGCATTTTGTTCCAAGTCTTTGCTTAACTCACATGATATCCCCTTTCTTGGGTGATATATTTCAATTTTGTGTAAATACTAATTATTGTAGATAATAGCCATGTAACATTTTTAAGTCCATTGTATTTTTCATGTAGTGAGCCTATTGAATATATTTTAAAATTACATTCTTTAATGATTATTATTATTATTTAGTTATTTTTGTTGAATTTATAAATAAAACTTCATGATGGGTTGTCCATATTAGACAAATCATTACAGTATTAATTACAGAAATGATAAGAAATTTATAAATTACTTATTTATAAGACTGAATAATGGCTCCCAAAGATATCTAGACCATAATTCCTAGAACTTTTCAGTGTTCTTTGGTATGGCAAAAGAATGACTAATAAGAATTTGAGATGACATTATGATTTGCAATACAGATTCTGAAAGTTATCAAGTATATCCCTTTAACTACTTTTAACATTCAGTTCTTGTCCAGCATGATCATTTCCAGTTATTATTGTCATCCTGGTCCCTTCTCTGTCTTACCTATCTTCTGCCCCACACATACATGTAGTTGATTCCAAACATTGACCAGTCCACCTAGTCTCTGTTTTCCCGGCTGTGAATGTCTTCTAACATATATATCCCAGAGACGCAGGCAGGTGTGTGTTTGTCAGCGTACAGATTGTTACAACATGCTAGTCGACCAAAAGTTTGTATTCGGTAGACTGGGAACACCTGTAAAAGCTATTAGAGGCTGTCCCAAAAGCCTCCATCCTTCTCAGAGAGCCTGGCAAGTGACCGAGAGTCTCCTGCCCTCACAGCAGAGCCTGACAAGCTACCTGATATGGCAAAAACAGTAACAATCATAATACTCATTCCTCTGATCCATTGTGCTATGCTGGCATGCAACAGGGACGAATGGAGACATTACTGGCGCCCGCTCTAGCAAATCAATGAACAATGGGATGACAAGTGAGATATATAGATATATATATATAAAAATATCACAAATGAATGCAGTCATTCTATATCCGTCCCTCTTTTCTGACTCATTTCACTCAGTATGATAATCTCCAAGTCCATTCATTTATAGACAAATTTTATGACTTCATTTTTCCTAACAGTTGTGTAGTATTCCATTGTGTAGACGTGCCATAGTTTCTTTATCCATTCTTTTGTTCTTCGGCACTCAGGTTTTTTTAGATTCAAGGAGGGAGAGGGAGAGAGAGGGAGGGGGGAGAGGGAGAGGGAGAAGAAAAGTACCTTTCACAGAGACAGGCTGGGGGGGGTGTTATTGGAGGGAATCTGGGGACACTAGTGCTGGGAAATGTACTCTGGTGGACGGATGGATGTTGGAACACTGCATAGACTGTATGGCTGAAACCTAATTATGAACAGCTTTGTAAGCGTGTATCTGACAGTGATTCAATAATAAAAGTCTTTAAAAAAGAAGAAGAGAGACATAGGAAGATTTCTCTCATATATGGTATATAAAAAATAATAGACTTGCACATGTTTTGCACGTGGAAGGTCCAGCTTTAAACTCCGGCATGTCATAGTCCCCTGAATACCACTGGGAATAAGCCTCAAGTATAGCTGGAAGCATTCCTCAAACACTGCCACAAAAATTGAAAAAATATATAATTGTATTATTAAAATACTGAGATGATAGTATTATTCTGAATTATTAAGATGCACCCTAAATTTAGTCATGTGTTCTTAAAAATAAAAAGTAGAAGATAATCTGAAAATAAACAGCATATCTGAAAAGAAGATGTACATATGACAAATAGGCACAGAAAAAATGTGCATATCACTGATTATTAGGGAAAGGAAAATAAAAATCACAGTGACATACTAATTTATAACTATCAGTATGGCTAGAATCAAAAAATAAGAAGTAACAGGTGTTGGTAAGGATACAGAGAATAGAGAACTCTTGTGTACTGTTGGTGATAATGTAAATTGGTACACCCACTACGGAAAACACAGTATGGAGAGTTCTAAAAAAGTTAAAAAGAGTAGAACTATCATGGAAATGCACTGCATAGCATGGGATACAATGGCCAGATCCCCATGAGTCAATCTATAAAATTATATTTACAAATTATAGAAAATGCCAATAAAATATGGGAAACTAATTTATTGTGCACATTATTTCACATTGCATACAAAGGTTAAATCAGTTTTGTACATGTGGACCTAATGTATTGTGGTGTTACAATTATACTTCAATTAAAACAATAAAAAGATGACAAAGAGAGACTAGATTATAGAAGTCAGATATGTAACAAGAGTAACAAGAAATTGGAGTTGAGTGGTGCAGCTATGTATACCAAAGAACATCAAAGAATGCCCACAATCTCTGGTTTGGAATTGGCAGAAACAGAGTCACCTCTAGAACTTAGCAAAAATAATCAGCTCTGCTGACATCTTGCTATTGTTTTTTTCCTGTCAGTCATTTGGATATATGACTACCAGAATTATCAGAGAATGAAATTGTGTTGTTTTAAGTCACTCTGATAATTCGTTATAGCAGAAATCGTAAAGTAATAACATACTTTGATACTGGGAAATGGGTGATGATATAACATATCTAAACATATGACAGTAACATTATAGTTTTGTAATGTATAGAGGCTAGAAGAATTTTGACACATAATAGAAAATTTCTAGATTTCTTCTAGTGACTATTGAAGACATTTGTATGGTAAAAGTCATTACTGTTGAGAATGCAATAAAAATGAGGAGCACATTATAAATATTAATGTAAAGAGATACTTGTTCTATAGCAGAGGTAGAGAACATTTGGCTGGTGGACCCTTTAAAACCATTATATTATGTGGTCTTGCTTCTCATAACCTGCTCATGGCCCATCTGCCTATATAGTATGGCCTGAGAATGATGTTATAAATGGCTCTTGGCAGAAAAACGGTTCCCATTCTTGTTACAGAGTGACAGGAAATCCCAGCTGAATTGTCTACAGTGATGTGGAAAAAAGAGCATAAAAGAGATGAACTTTTACATTCAGCTGAAGACATTTTCAGTTTTATTGAGATTCTGTGGCCTCCCTCGCTCGCTCCCTCCCTCCCTCCCTCCTTCCCTTCCTTCCTTCCTTCCTTCCTTCCTTCCTTCCTTCCTTCCCTCCCTTCCTCCCTTCCTTCTATCCTTGCTCCATCCCTCCCTTCCTTCTTTCCCTTCTCCCTCCTTCCCTCTCTCCCTCCCTCCCTCCCTTCCTTCTTTCTCTCTTTCTCTTTCCTTCCTTCCTTCCTTCCTTCTTTCTTTTTTTTGGGCTTTTTTGGTCACTCCTGTTGGTGGTCACTGGTTACTCCTGGCTCTGTACTCAGGAATTGCTCCTCGTGGTGCTTGGGGGGACATATGGAATGGCTTGGATGAAAACCAGGTCAGCCACGTGCAAGCCAACTGCCTCCCCACTGTATTATTGCTCTGGCCTTAAAGATTCTGTGATTTTTGATACTGTTAATAATGGTTTATCGGGCACATAATTCCAACACCACACCCATCACCAATGTAATCACCTCCTTCACCCAAGGAGACAAATGCCCCTTCCTTTCAGCCCCACCAACTCAGTTGTGTGGATCAGTTCTACCTTTATTTTGCCTTTGGTCCTTTTTTGCTATCTTGCTGTGTATCTCTAAGTTCCACATATGAGTGAGATCATTCTGTATCTTTCTTTCTGACTCACTTCACTCAGCATGATATTCTCTAGTTCCATCCATGTTCTGCAATGTACATGGTTTTTTTTAGATAGAAACTATATTTTAATATAAGTTGCACTTTTTTTTTCTTTAACAGGCACTGAATTGTATATCTCACGGTGATTCAATTAAAAGCGTGCATGATTGGGGCTGGAGCTATAGCATAGTGGGTAGGGCGTTTGCCTTGCATGTAGCCGACCTGGGTTTGATACCCAGAATCCCATATGGTCCCTCGTACCACCAGGAGTGATTCCTGAGTGCAGAGACAGGTGTAACCCCTGTGCATCACTGAATGTGACCCAAAAAGCCAAAAAAAAGTGTCTGATTTTATTCTGAGAGTTGCATAATATTCTGTGGGATAACATCGTTTTGTCCTTTCAGCCTTGCCACAGAGAGCTTAGGTTTATTGTGTTACACGCATCACAGCGCTCCAATTTATCTGAGTTTACTTGTAACCTCTTTCTTTGTGCCCTGCTTCCCCAAAGGATCAATCACCTTTATCTCCTAATCAGATTCTGTTAACTTGTAAATATCGTTTTTTTCTTCTCCTTAAGTTCTTTGCATAGTTCATTCAGAGCAATGTCCTTTTTGTATGGACACAAGAAGACAGTGCTATGCTTTTGTATCTTGGGAGTTATATGACTCCTAATAATATTCACTCCAGGGCAACCATTCTCTCGACTTAAGCCTCAATTGCCCTTACTTCCTAGCACCCCAAAAGCAGGGTCCTGATGAGAGACTGGATGGACCCAGGGCAAGCTGTGAACTAACCTGGCATCTAAAAGGGCCAGGCCAAAGTGCCATAATACTTAACTATACAATAGCATGGTCATGGGCAAATTCTATCATGATCCAATAAGTAACAGCTGGATTAGGATCCTTCCAGGGTAAGGAAAGATTAATCTGGCCTGAGCACTGTAGTCTGAGATCTATAGCAAGATGTCCCTTGGGAAAGCCATCCTATAAACTTAATGTATATCTTACTGTCACTGTCACTGTCACTGTCCTCCCTTTGTTCATTGATTTGGTCGAGCGGGCCCAGTAATGTCTCCATTGTGACACTAT